TAAGTATTTTTGAAAATAAAGATCATTCTTTAAATATTTATTTTATAAATTTCCTCAATTAAAATTTTTATTTATTAAATACAATACAACCTAGAAGTTGGCAATGGACGGATTTTTAGCCCATTCCACTCGCCCAATCTTTAAATAAATATATACCCGCCCTCCCCTTAATCTAAAATTATTTCCGCCCGCCTAGTAGTCTAAAAATTTTTACCCAGACCTACCCATAAAAAATTTAAATATGCCCAACTTTTAATTTTTTTAAGTATCTAAAAAAATAATTTTGTTTCAGCGCTGCACCCTCCAAAAAGTTTTATCCTGTCCATCCCACCCATCATCGTGGATCTCTCACATATTATTACAGTATCACTTAATCTCCTCAAATGTGAGATTTACTCCCTAAATCCTACATCCATTCAGACAACACATACATGTCATTAACAGAGATGAGATGACGGATCACCGATAAGGGGTGAAAAGGCCATCGAAACTTTTTTAAACAAATCCCTTAACAATTTGTCTAAATTAAACATATTATTTAATTACCTCCCTCGCCTAGCTTCTCAAATTGTTATCAATAATGTATCCACTCCTATTGATCCTGACCTATCCCAGGTTCTTACCTTTTAGGAAGGCAACAGCTTATCTACCCTCTATCGTCCTGCCTCCAGCATTCAAAAAGACTGGGATGCTCCTTTGATCGCCCTTTCACCTGAATATCTTATTTTGAACAGGCCCTTTATGGAAAATCCCAATATCAAAATTCTAAATGCTAACTCAGGCTATGAATGGCTAGACGCCATCCCCATTTCCTATATTGGCCTGCTTCATGATTGGTGAACAGCTACACATATCAATAGCCCTTCGCTTTGCCTGTAATGCTGTAGTAACCTCCATTTGCTTCTATTGTGGCCAATCGAATCGAAAGCCCGCCATCCCTTGCACTGCAATTTATCCCGTGACGACAACCCCGTCATATATCCATCAACAACATTCTCATAGCTGCCCTCAAAAAAGTTAATATCCCATCCACCCTCGAACCAGTGGGCCTTTCAAATGAAAACGCCATTCGTCCTGATGGTATATCCCTCTACACTAACGGCTCCCGCTGACTTGGGACTATACTTGTTTTCGATTTTGCAGCAAAGTCTTAAAAAAAACAAATGCTGATGTCATCAACACTGTGTTCAGAGTTGGACAGTACCGCAAATACTTGTATCTAAGATACAAGATTCTTTTGTATCTTGTACTCAATGGTTAATGAATTTAGCAAATCAGATTGTCACAGAAGGTACTATTCCCGAGGACTGGCGAAGAAGTATAATTATCCCAGTATACAAGGGGAAAGGTGATCCTTTAGATTGTGGGTCTTACAGAGCTATTAAACTCTTGGAACATGCAATGAAAGTATTTGAGAGAGTGTTAGAAAAGCGGATAAGGGAACAAATCAAAATTGATGAAATGCAGTTTGGTTTTACATCGGGAAAAGGCACGACAGATGCAATTTTTGTGGTGAGACAAATTCAGGAGAAGTATCTTGCGAAGGAAAAGAAACTCTATTATGCTTTTGTTGATTTGGAGAAAGCATTTGATAGGGTGCCGCGTGAGATTACAAGATGGGCCTTGAGAAAATCCGGTGTGGAGGAATGGTTAGTTACCGCAGTGATGGCAATGTATGTTGGAGCACAAACAGCAGCACGGACGGATCATGGTGATAGTGACAGCTTTGAGGTGAAGGTAGGACTTCATCAAGGATCCGTGCTGAGTCCATTATTATTTATCTTAGTAATGGATGTGGTGGCTAGAGAAATGCGTGAAGGACTTCCCTGGGAGATATTATATGCAGATGACCTTGTATTAATGGCAAACAGTGAGGGAGAATTGAGGGATAAAGTTAGTAAATGGAAGATGACTATGGAAGCAAAGGGCCTGAAAATGAATGCATCAAAAACAAAGGTGATGATTGGTGGAGAAAATCTAAAGATAGAAGAATCAGGTAAGTGGCCTTGTGGTGTATGTGGGAAAGGAGTTGCTAGAAATTCTATCCAATGCACCAGATGCCAGAAATGGGTACATAAAAGATGTAGTGGGAAAAAAGGCAGTTTGATGTTAGAAAGAATGACCTTTATTTGTAAAACATGCATGAAAGGGATACATAATAATGATAACCTAAAAAATGGTGGTCTGGATATTGGCAATGGGTTAACCCTAGAAAAAGTGGATAAGTTTTGTTATTTAGGTGATATGCTAAACGCAGATGGTGGTGTAGATTCTGCTGTTGTTGCAAGGATCAGACAAGCTTGGAAGAAGTTCAGAGAGATGTCATCTATTCTTACAAATAAAAAAGTTTCTCTGAAGTTAAAGGGGAAAGTTTACGTAAGCTGCGTGAGGAGTTGTTTAGTTTATGGCGGTGAAACATGGGCAATGAAAGCAATTCACGAAGCCAAATTAGAAAGAACAGAGATGAGGATGGTTAGATGGATGTGTGGGGTATCTCTGAGAGAGAGAAAAACTAGCAAGGAATTGCGAGCAAGATTAGGTATAGAAATGATTGGTATGGTAATGCGACGAAATAGACTAAGATGGTTTGGGCATGTGGAACGTATGACAAGAGATGACTGGGTAAAGAGATGCACAATGATGGAAGTAGGAGGATCAAGACCTAGAGGAAGACCCAAGATGACGTGGACAAATGTGATAGCGGCGGATATGAGAAGCTTGAATCTTACAAGTATTGATGCTCAGGACCGTCAAAAATGGAAAAGAAAAATCAGAGGGAAAACTGGCCTACCCGGGTAAACCTGGAAATCGCCATAAAACGGAGAAGAAGAAAAACTCAGTATCTTTTTGACATTTTTAATAAGATACTAGTATCTGTATCTAAGATCTTTTATTCTGAAAAGAAAAACTTTACACATCACAGTTTATATTTTATTTTCCTCGAGAATTTTGTATTAATTTTATTTTTTTTCACCATATTTTAAATATGACAATCAAAAATAGCTGGAAAATTTACGACTCATATTAGAGATCTGCAAAAGTAGGCCCGCCCCGAAACCGGCTTGGTCCGAACGGGCTTCGGCCGTGCCTATTTTAAAAAATAAATCAGGTGCTGGGTCGGGCTTAATATTTTTTAAGAAAATTCCTGCTGGGTCGGGTCGGGCCTTAGAAATTTTTTTAAATATGTCTAAAATTATCAATTTTATGTTAAATTTTTTATGTAAAATAAAAGTATTATCAAAAGCTAAGATTATATTTTATATATATATATATAAATGTTACTCGATAGATATCATTACTATTTTATGTAATATTTTTTAATTTGTAGGATGATTAACACTCATGGTAGTGAAGAAGCAAGTAGTGAAAAAATTAAGAAATTAAGTTCCCGTGAATCAAATCCCAATATTAAAATTTTATATGGAAATTTTTTAAAAATAAAAGTTAAAAAAGACAATGTACAGGCTAAATGTATAAACCTTTATATACAAAAAAATGATAAAGGTTTAAACCAAATTTTGTTTAACATATTAATGTATATTATTAATGTGTGGTTTAAAGTAGCATGAGTTATCTTAAAAATTCAATTTTAAAATATTTTCTACCTTTATTAAAAGCTGCCCAAGATGTGAAAGAAAGAATTTTCCTGTGATATGAATATAATGAGGCTTTTTTGACATCAATATTAAAAACTTATGGATTGAGTCAGATGATAAAAAAAAATACTTTCAAAATATATTAATAAAAGAAGCCCTAAATATAGTACCAGGTTATAAACAAGCTCCTATAACACCAATAGATTTAACATCTAATAAAAAATGATGATTATTTTTCTTTTGTGAAACAAATGTTGCTGAGTTCAATAATACAAATAACATTGAACTGGAAGTTCAAATTATATTATAGGAAGTTCGAAATACATTATAAATGCTTAATTATTATCCTTCCATTTAGGAAATATTTTATAAATAATACCTATATCAGCTTCAATTGAAAGGTTATTTAGTTTTGGCACAATATTAAGTACGCCGAAACGGCAAAAAGGACTGATGATAGATTATTTGAAAAATTTGATTATTTTATAAAATAATGAATCTTAAATACTCTTTTGCAAATTAATATATCAACTCTTATTAAAAATACTAGTCTACCTTCCCTATCTATGCTAAGAATGGGCTATTACTAATAATAAAATATCTGATTATTATAAATAACTCATCATTAAATATTTTATTAATTATTGTTAATATTCATTCTTATTATATGTGTGTGTTATGTTCTTCAAAAATAAAGAATAAAAACTGTATTTTATAAACTATTGTAATTTGAATTTAAAAGTATCTTATATTTAAGATACTCTAATTAGGCAAACGATACAAGTATCTTTTATCTTATTTTGTAAAAGATACTAGCATCTGTATCTAAGATTCATTCTTTCACAATGAATCTTTATCTAGATTCTTTTTCCGGAGGACCTGCCCAACTCTGACTGTGTTTATACCAAACGTTACCAATACCTTAGGCATGTTCGGAAGTGAGACACTCAATTTCATTAGAAACATAGGGAAAAAATAAAATAATCTCTGTGACCCCAATGAAGGATTTTACCTTCATCAGCAGATTTCTCTTGAAATTTGCCTGTCCAATTTTATCACTCTTTAGGGTGATTTGTACCTATTTTAAAATCTTTTTAATGTCTTTAAAAAATATATATTTTTTTGTATATAATTTTTAATATAATCTTATTTCTTTTTTTTTTAATTTATTTTTAATTTAATATTGTTTGTATTTTTATTTAAAATATGTCATAAATTTAATTTTATAAAATAATTGAAACTGTTTTTTAAATAAATTATTTTAAAAAAAAATGTATAAATATTATTAAAAAATTATGAAATTATTATATTAAGGATAAAACATATTCGATTTAAATTAAGGATTAAGAATTTTGATCATATTTATTGATATTATGTAATTATAATGCAAAAATAATAATGCATCTTCATTTTTTGGATTCAAACACAATCTTCTTTTTCTAATTTCAGCAATACTAAATCCTCGTTCATAAGAGCACTTGTTGCTGGCCAATATTTTTCTAGCTAAATTGGAAGACTTTTTTCTTGTTGTTCCACTAAAGTAGGATATCGGTTTGATGTATATTCTATTCCTCAAGTGAAATCTTTAAATAAATAATGAAACCATTTAAATAAAAAAAATTAATTTAAAATTTAAATTAAATGTTTATAAATTGTAAACTAAACTAAATTACCTAGAATCTTCCTATATTTCGTTACTTTAAAATTTAAATATTTTGTCATTAGAACCCAGAGGGATAATAGCATTGAAAAGATATTTTTATTCGCTTTCATATGTCCTTGTTAGATATTTCTTGTAAAAGAATTAAATCTCTCCAACCCTTGATGCGAGGCCAAGATAGAGGGATGTATAATTTTGAAATACTCAAAATCATTTTATTGTCTTCATTTGATACTCTTGTCTAGATATTTTTTTGGAATAATGTTTAACCTCCACCCCTTCATGATATAAACCAGAAAACATAGATTAATGATTAATTTTAAAAAATTATGCTTGCTTGTACACTTAAAAATAAAAATAAATAGTAAAATTTTTTGAGCAATATATTATATTTTCTAAGAAATTCAATTCTGGAAAGAATTAAAATTTTTATTTAGCAAAATCATCATTTGGGAATTTAGTGAAAATTATTAGTAGTTTTAATTCTCAGTAATTAAGGGGGAAAAAATACTGTAATTTAGCATTACATGCGTCAAAATTAATGCTTGCCAAAGTTTTACAAACTTTGTGCTTAATGTTACCTCTTAATATTTGATTCAGATTCCTTCTAAATTTTTTGAAAATATATCTAATATATTATATTCTAAGTAAACAGAAAAGATAAAAAAATCTCTATAAAGATCGTAAAATCATAAGATTCAAAAATATTTGAAATTGGGGAAATCCTTTATTTCACTTATATGTAATTTATTTTTGAATCGCCATGCAAAATCGATGAAGACTAATGAGTAATGTTATATTTTTTATTTAGCTTATAACTCTTATTTATTTCTGACCATCAAATTGATGTTAAAAATATTAAGTACTCATCAGACAATAAATATTGGCGCAAACCAGATAACAATTTCGCCAGTAATATTTAATTAATGAACTCAATGATCAATAATATATTAATAAAACCTGGACTCCTTGTCGCTCTTCTTAATAAAACTTCGAAGAAAAATAGGACAGGATATCAGGAAAATTTTATTCCAATAAAATTTTTTATAAACTAAATCTAAGTTCATTAATCATTGATTCAATTAATAGGATCATATAGATAAATGTTTCAAAATAAAATAGTAACTATTAGCAATTAGCGCGATATTGCGCTATAATATCTTCGCGATATATGTCGCGAAATCGTTTCGCTATATCCGTGATTTGAGTTGTGTCATAATGAATTCGCGATAAAAGTTTCACTGAATTGACATGAAACCAATATTGATTTGATGAAATAAATTTAAATCCATCACTTATATCTTTCATTGAATAAAATACTTAACTGTTAGGCAAAAATGTATTTTATAGGGTGGGAGTGATTTTTTTTTCAAAAACATTTTAGGTTGACTGATAATGTTTTTCCAAAACCATGGATAGAAAGGCTAAAAAATTGAAAAAAAAACTATAATGTGGCAGGTTAAAAAATTTTTTAACAATGGGCAGGCAAGATAAGGGTTAAAACCTCGTTGATTGATGACCTCTAATGTACATTATGCTTGGATATAATTCTTTATATTATGTGGTAATGAATCTTGCATGTAAATATTAAAACTCTAGGCTTTATTATTTTCGTTCGTTTAAATTATGATAAAGTTGAATTTTTCTTATTATAACTCAATATAGAGTCATAAATATTTTCTTCATTATTATAACCTTGAAAATGACAACTAGTCATTTTATTTAAAATTTTTATAGTGATGCTCAAATTATATGTGCTTCATTGTAAATAAAACCATTTATAAATCGAATGCTACAAATATTTATAAATATTAATTAGATAAAAGGAAAAACAAAAAATTATTTTCCCGTTCTGTGTGGCGAGCTATCAAAGATGCTGGAACGGATGAAGCGACACTTGAAAGATTAAAAAGTGGAAAATTTATTCCTGGTGCTATATGGCATGTTTACGAACCAAAAGATGTCCCCAGAATTAGAGAGTTTCTCAAAAAGGTTCATTTTATTTATTAAATTAAATCCGCTCTTATTTTTAATTTGGTTGGGATTTTCAGTTTTTGAAGTGATAATAATGTGATTATTGAGGTTTGCATTGGCGTTACAACGGGCCAGGGGAGCGTGAAATTTCTCTGGAATATTTGTCAGCTTTTGTAAATTAGTAAAGTATTTTTTATAAATAAAAAGAAAGTAATACTGACTATAGAAGTTAAATTAAAATTATTTTAAAAAAAATTTAATCCGGCCATTTTCAAAAAGCCAGCATACAACATTCCAATAAAAGTTATTGTAAAAATGGTCAATCAAAAAAATCTTGAATGCAGAGCTGACTCTACCAATAATTGGACTATACTTAAAGTTTTAATCTTTTTATAATAAGTAAAATGTGTAAAAAACGATAATTTCGAAAATAAACCCCTTTTTTGCTTAAAAAATACAAGTGAAGCAAGATAGGTAGACTGGAAATTAAAGACTCAAATTGGCGCCAATTTTTATTATTTTTTGATAGCCCTTTAGAGATTTTTTTTACCTACAATATGATATATTATACATTATTTTACTATAAATAGTTTTTGAGATATAAGCATTTTAAAAATTTTACAGATTCCAAAGTGGCTCTTTTTTGCACTTTTAAACCCTTATATCTCGGGAACCAAGTGTGCTAGCGAGCTAAAATAAACGGCTTTCTCATTTATATACCTATCTAAATAATTCCAGAAATTTTTAACAATTTTAAAAGGGGTCGGCCGAAAATGTTCATTTTTTGGTCGATTTGACATGGAATTGACATTTAATTAAATATATATTTAAAAAGAAAGAAATAGGAAATTGTAAAATATAAATTAATATAAACAATAATATTTTTCTAAAATATATCCGCCGTCTGCATTTTTTGGCTTTAGAGGGGGGGGGGGGGTTTGTCTACCCCCCCCCTTCTGCTGCGTACGTGCTTGTAATTTATTAATAATTTATTCTATAAATTGAGCAATAAATAAATTATAAACGTTTAAAAACTTTATAAAATTGTGATATATATAAAATCTAAATTACCGAAAAAAAAATGTTAAAAATATTTGGTATATTTTTTTAAATGCACCTTAGATTGGTAGTGGTATAAATAAAATATAAAGTTAAGATAATTATATTAAACGATAAATATAACAAAATAACTAAAAATATTTAGAGTTACTTGAGTATGTTTCGCGAAAAATATAACATTGAAATAATGATCGTTATTAATATAAGATTTTAATTTATTTAAATAAAGATCATTATTTGATTTTGTTAAGCAATTTAATATATCAACAGTTATCAAGAGAGAATGGCAATGCCGAGTTCTTGCCTCACCACGATCCTATACACGATCAAGAAGCCTATTTAAATGATGAATGCAATAAAAGGCTGAAACTTGAATACGGAGTTCATGGAATGGTGTTGATTCAGTGTTTGGGCGATGCCATTTTTATTCCTGCTGGAGCCCCTCATCAAGTTTTATAATATATAATAAAGATCTGTACAGCTCGCAGGATAGACAAAAAATTCGGGCTGGATAGCATGATCCGAAATTTTTTATTTGTACATATTTATTTACAGGCCGGGTCAGTGTCTACATGGCCGGGGTGGGTAGGAGACAAATATCTCCAAAATATATTGGCTTTGGGGGGGGGGAGTAGGCATTAACTTTTGGGGGGTAGTTTTTGACTTTAATTATACCCTTTTTAAATTCAATAATTGATACGATTGGATCTCTCTATTAACAAATAATTAAAAAAACTATAAAATTTTTCTTTTTAAATTTTAAGCCTTTTTATTAATTTTTTTACCATAATATTTTACAATTTCACACTTAAAATATTAATATTATTCTTATTTATTAATTATCTAAAAGTATGGAGGGTAAACATATATGATTAATTTTAATAATAAATTTCAGTAAGAATATAATAAATCATTTAAAATTTTAGCAATATACTTTAAATATTATTATTAAAAATAAGATTTTCGATAGGTAAACAAATTTTAACTATATTCTTTATTTAATAATTAGCAAACATCCGAAGTTATTGAAGATTCCCGGATTATATTTTCTTCTCATTCAATGAATCACAATGGAGTAGCCCAAACATCTCTTCAATTGTCGATTGATTATTAGCAAGAATTAGAGATTTAATTGTTTTTTCTAACTTAAATAGGCCTGAAAGGATTTTGTTGTGAAATTATAAATGGTAGCTTATTATAAGATTTTTTATTAATATCACTATAGCATCGTGGTTTGGCGAAGCCGCAGGCCGCGGAATTTTTTTTAGGGTTTAAAAGGATCGAAGGATCGTTCATTAATAAAAGGATCTTGTTCTTTTATAAAAGGATCTTGATCACGATCCTCATTTTAAAATAGGAGATTCGGCCTATCTGCCAAAATTAGGATTGAATCGAGTATCGTCGATCCTTTAACAAATTTGATAACTTCATAATCAATAGAATATAAATTTTAAACTATAACACATACACTTGTGGATATATAATTTAGAAGACAAAGGACATCATCCTCTATACTGTAAATAATACAAAAGCTGATAAGCACGGCAATGAACTGTTAACTTTCTTATTCATGGTGGCGTAGGCATGCCCCATGAAAATTTTTTTTAAAAAAATTATTTTTTTATTTTAATTTACTAAATTGACTATAAATGCTTGTAATTCTAAAAACATGTTATTAATTTATTATAAATAATAATTGATTTACGCAAGGCCTATTAGTAGAAAGGCTGCATGATACGAAAGGCTAAAAAATAACAAAGAAAATGATTAATGAGAATTTTGATTGATTTATTGCTTTTTTACGAGAAAAATATAAATAACATTCATTACTACATTATAATATATTAAAAAATTGGAAATTTTAAGATCTTTTCAATTTTTTTATTAATTTTTTGTAATAATTTGCAGTTTTAATTTAATTATATTAATTTATAAATTAAATTATATTTCGTTAAGATTTTATTAAATACAATTTTAAAAAATGGAATTTTTGAATTTTTAAGTTTTTTTTTTCAAAACTAAATTGATAGTAAGTATAAAGATATTATAAGTACTGGATTACGAAGTAATTAACAAATATAAATTATATGATAAAATTTTTTTTAAGTTTTCGGTTCGAAAAATTTTTTTTTATCGTGAAAACATTCAAAGGGAAAATGCTAACATTTTAAATGTAATTTCAAATATTTATATATCATTGAACTCAGAATTAAATTTCCAATCCAAAAATGCTTAGATGTTTTTACGTTTTCGGTTCGAAGATATTTTTGTCGCGAAAACACTCAAAGGGAAAAGGCTAACATTTTAAAAGTAATTTAAAATATCTATCATTGAACTGAGAATAAAATTTCCTATCTAAAAATGCCTAGATGTATTTTTTTACGTTTTCAGTTCGAAAAATATATTTTTTGTCGAGAAAACATTCAAAGGGGAAAGAATTTTAAACGTAATATCAAATTTTTTATATCATTGTACTCAGAATTAAAATCTCTATTCAAAAATGCTTAGATGTATTTTTACGTTTCCGGTTTGAAAAATATTTTTTTGTTGCGAAAACTTTCCTATGGAAAAGGAAGGCTAACATTTTAAACGTAATTTCAAATATTTATATCATTGTACTCAGAATTAAAATATCTATTCATAGATGTATACTTTCAGGTTAGAAAAAAATTTTTTTGTTGCGTTCCTAGGGAAAAGGTTTACATTTTAAACGCAATTTTAATATTTTTATATCATTGAACTCAGAATTAAATTTCCAATCTAAAAATGCTTAGATGTGTTTTTTTACTTTAATTCTGAGTTCAATGATATAAAAATATTTGAAATTAGGTTTAAAATGTTAACCTTTTCCATGTTTTCGCGACAAAAAAAATATTTTTCGAACCAAAAACGTAAAAAAATACATTTAAGCATTTTTAGATAGGAAATTTTATTCTGAGTTCAATGATAGATATTTGAAATTACTTTTAAAATGTTAGCCTTTTCCCTTTGAATGTTTTCGCGACAAAAAAAATATCTTCGAACGGAAAACGTAAAAAAATACATCTAAGCATTTTTGGATAAGAAATTTAATTCTGAGTTCAATGATATAAAAATATTTGAAATTACATTTAAAATGTTATCATTTTTTTTTTGAATGTTTCCGCGACAAAAAATATTTTTCGAACCGTAAACTTAAAAAAAATCATTTAATTTATATTTGTTAATTACTTCATAATCCAGTACTTACAATATCTTTATACACTCAATTTAGTTTTGAAAAAAAACTTAAAAACTTACCATTTTATTAAAATTGTATTCATATAAAATCATAACGAAATATAATTTAATCAAAATTTTAATTTAAAAATTAATATAATAAAATTTTAAAACCGCAACTTATTACAGAGAATTAATAAAAAAAATTAAAAAGATCTTAAAATTCCAATTTTTTAATATATCAGTATTTGTAAATTTTTATATTTTTTTAAATAAATTATATTTCTTTGTATTTGCAGCACTGGAATTTTATATATCAAGCAAGTTAAAAGATTCAGCAGATGCAGAGAATCTTTTGCAGACTATTATATAGCCACAATTTTTAATATCAATTCAATGTGTTTATTTTTTATTTAATTATACATATGATTTTAGCAAAATGCTACAAAAAATTGATTTGTATTTAAGGGAGATTATGAATAGAGCAAAGGATTTTGTTGAAATATTAACAAATATCAGAGAGAATGTGGATGAAAAATTTCATGAAATAATGAGAAATTACAAGAGATTACTATTGGGATTGAAATTTTTTTCATAATTTTATTTTTAAAGGCTTTTATTTTCTTTTGCCTATTGAGTCTAAAGTGTTGATTACACTTGAAACGCGAGAGGATATTAAGAGATGAAGTAGGCTCATATTATAAGTTATTTTTGATGTCGGATTTTAGTATAAAAATCTTGACAGAATAGATCATTTTTGAGAACAAAAAATACTATTCAGGCTCCTTCCACCTTTAGATTTCCTACACAATATTAAAACATTATTAATTATTTTAGCTAACTTAATTAGTACCTGCACTAATAAAAGGTCTTTTTTCAACTTTAAAAAGGTTAAAAACGTTTATGGATTAACCCTATTAAATAATAAAATTATTCTAGATAAAATTCTAGATGAATTAGCTAAATCTCAGAGAAAAGTAGACATCCCTATTTAAATAAAAATTTGCAATATGATTATACTAGTTTTAATATATAATATTTGTAATCAATTTTTTTCGTAAAATGAATTCTTAGTTAGAACATTTATATAATTTTTGTATTAACTCTTAAAATTCATGCAATTATTACTATTATTAATCAAAGTACTGTGTATTATTTATATTTTGATAATATCGTCATATTTTTTTAAATATCATTATTTGCATAAGAATTACTTATGTTTTATGTAATTGTTAAATTACATTTTTTTAAATAAATATAATTTTTATACAATAAAATTTTTAATATTATAATCTGTATAATATCTACATTTTTATTTATTTTAAACACTAAAAAATAAATACATGATTAAATAAAGGGATTTTATTTATGGTAAAGCAGAGACTGCACGGGTTTAGGGCGGGCGGGGCCATATTTTAATTTTTTAAATATACACGGGGGGCATAAAATTTTTTTAAAATAAATTCCGGGTAAGACCAAATATTTGAAATCGCCATTATTAGCTATAAAATTAAATATAATATATTTTAAACCGGGCCGTGCAAATGATACCTCTTCTCTCTGGTAAAGAATTTTAATAAATAAAATCTATAATAAAAAAACTAAAATTTTGTTATATGCAAATATTTAAAATAATTTTAACATAACCTAATATAAGCAATTCAGTGTTCATAAAAATGAAAGATTTGGAGGGCGAAGCCCCTTCCCCCAAAAATTTTTTTACCCCCCCCCCCTTTATGAGAACATCCTGGCTGGTAGGGAGGTTTGCCTACATAAAATTTTCTGCCATGTAGACGCTGGGCCGGGTCATTAAACCTTTTCAAAAATCTTAGTGTGCAGGGCTGATTTCTACTATTACTTGTGTAACTTAAAATATTTTCAATTTAAAAGTTGGGAAATGTTTCAATAAATATATTTATAAAATTTGGACTAAATATATTTTTAAAAATTTGGAAATTGGAATTATACAGAGTTCACAATTATTTTTAATTAATTTATGTTATATTGATTAAAATGAATTTTTAACCTAAAGATTTCCACTGAAATTAGATCGTTTATTAAAAAGAAGATTATATTAGTTATATTTACTCAAATAAAGAAACATAAAATTATCATTTGATTTAATACATGATATATAATTTTATTCATATTTTTAATAAAGGTTAGGAATTTATATTCTTGCATCAAAATAGCTGAAGATTTTGTTTCACCCGAACATTTGACAAGCTGTTTAAATTTAACAGATGAGTTTAGGAAGCTTTCCGATAACCATTCTAATCATGAGGACAAATTGCAAATCAAAAATATTATATATCACACTATCAAAGATGTTTGCTCCATATTGAATCAATAGATATTTTATGATGAATTCTAACACTTGATGTATTTTGTTTCTCGTCAAAGAGATATGTGACCTCCTTTAAATACAACCAGTCACAAAATGATAACCTTCCCTTCCTGCTATGTATGTTTAAAATTGGTATCAATAGCTAAATGTAAAATCTCAACACACTTTCGTTCAAACTTAATTTATTTTGTATTTATAAAATTTTTGCTCTTATATTTTGATATTTATATTATTTTAAAAAATAAAAGAAACGCTTATTAGTTAAAATTAACCCATTATTTTTGTTTAAAGAAAATGAATATTTTTTACAGTCATTTCATATATGGGTTGTTATGTTTTATCATCTTCTCCAATAAGTCTTTTATCTTACGGATTCGCAAAATTTTAATTCGGGGTTCCTAAGATTTCATATATTTAATATTTGAACAGCTTACATGTAACCTTATACGCCAGTTGCAAAAAAATTGATAATTTAAAAAAAATTCCTTCTTATATCTTAAAAAATTAAATAGAATCATATGCCTACCATTAATCTATATTGTTTTTAATTATATTTTTTGCAAATTTATTACCCCAAATGTCACACACAGGCTTGTTAATCGATCCTTTTAAAAAGATCGAATCACGATCTTTTGAAAAAAAGAGGATCGAAATCAAGGATCGACCTTTTTTTAAAAAAGGATCGCGATCACGATCCTTTTTCTTATTTAAATTTCTGATCGATGCAAAATTAACTAATATAAAAATTAATTAAATATGGTATAAATTTATTGTAATTGAATAATATAATACAAGTATAACAATTAGAATATATTTATATATAATTAAAATTAGCCTTTAATAATAAAAAATTTTCTAAATTATCATCATTTAAACAACTAAGTTTTTCATTAAGTACATGTTTAGCTTTACTAAACTAGCGCTCCACAGGAGCGCTTGATGGCAAAGGTAATAAAAATTTTTTTTAAATTAACATAATTATTAAAAATATTCACTTAATCATCATTAGAATAAAAAAAATATTCACTGAATCATCATTAGAATAAAAAAAATTATTAATGAAAGAGCATTTTATGACGAATTTTCCCCAAAAAAGGTATCGATTTCATCCATGCATTCATTTGAAGCATATGCACGTGGTTGACATTGTATATTTTCTAAATGGGCAATTAACCTTTCTTTTAGCATCAGATTTTGTGGCAGATTAATTAATATAAGGCCAATTTAGCTTAAATTTTGGGTGAATTATTGATGCCAATAAATTATTGTCATCATATAGCGAAGGAAATCTATATTAATAAATGATAATTAATTTATTAGTGTTCATTCATATTAATCAGGTATCTGCAAAAGTTAGCCCTTTCAAATTTTACGGTCAGGCCTGACCAATTATCTGTATAATATTGATTAAATTTATTAACTTTTAATGCCTATGATGGCCCATTAAAATTTTACCAGATATCAGAGGCTTAGTAGACCAGGCCTGAAAAATATTTTACTAAATTTGCAAGATCATTATCTGATATCTATTAATATAAAATAATTGCATAAAAATTTATTACCTTTTATCAATACCTCTAAGTACACACTCTACAAGGGGCTGACAATATCGCAGGCAGTTAAATTTCTTTAATTTATCTATAAGTATGGTTAGAACTGGGGTTAGATATCCCAGCTCCATGTTATCTTCCCGTTCAAAGATCTTTAATGGTATAACCTTTAATATTAAAATTTAGTTATTATAAAAATATCATTGTATTACTGATGCATATTCTTTGACAAAGAAACATTGTGAATCCTATTTGATCACAAACTTCTTCTATTTCTGAAAACTTTTTAGAGAGCATCTTGTCCATTAATTTTAATTACTGAAAATAGGAGCCATCTGATCTTGTTGGGAGCTATTAGATATCTTCCCAATTTCTGCATATCAGCCATTTTTCGGGACATATTTTGTTTGTTAATTAAAGCAAAACATTTAGCAAATGTTCTTGATATTCGCTTATAATTAATTTCATTTTTTGCCTTCTCAGCATCTTTGGTTGCAATAAGGTTAAGATTATGGCAACAACAACTTTGATGTTTTGGTAGGCTTATAGTAGGATTATTTGAGTCATCAACAGATAATATATCATCTATTATTAATTCCATATCCTCACATTCTTCTTCACTTTCTCCAAAAATTCTAAAAAAAATAAAAAATTTATTTTGAATAATTTTTTGTTAAATATAAATATTACTTGAATGCCTTTACAAAGTTGTTTCCATTATCGGTCACCATCTTCATCACCTTATTATGAATTTTATAAGTCTTGTGGATATCCATAATCTCCTTAGCCAAAACATCATATGTTTACTTTCCAATTATACGCCTCAGTGCTAAAGCTGCTAATCTTCTCTTGAGGGTTAATGGGTCCAGCCAATGGACAGTAACTCCAATAAAAGCCCTAAAATAAAATATTATAAAATTCATATAAATGTAATATACCTTCGATGACCACTTCAACAATTAGCAGTGGTGCATACATAGGAGACTTCAGAGAAATCTCTTATAAGATTTGTTGTCATATCTGTAAAGGCAGTAGATATTTTATTGCTCAGAGTTTGACGACATATAACTTTTGTCTTTGGAGAAAATGTTTTAATCATTTTCTGGAATGAAGGAACATCAACCAGTGAAAGTGGTTGAAAGGTGTCAATAAAAATCTCCATTATAACTTTGTCTGCTTTTTTTGCGATATTGATGGCATGTTAAGATTATAAAAATTTAATTTGGTTTGTTTGGATCTGCAACCAGGACCACTTTGCTTTTGTAAAGATTTATTTGTTTGTGTAGAGAATTCATTTAAGTGTTTGGCAATTCCATTTTTGAATTCACTGTGCTTTCTCTTTATAAAAGAAAAATATATTATGTAACAGAGTTGGATGAAAATAACTTCCTCTGAATCAAATTTTAAAATTTTAGATGGAAATTTTTTTAAAATATAAGTTAAAAAAAACAATGTACAGACTGAATTTAAACCTGTATAAACAAAAAAATGATAAAGGGTTCAAAACAAATTTTGTTATATTTGATAAAGTATATTATTTATATGTGGTTAAAAAGGTCATATAAGTTATCTTAAAAATCTAAGTTTACAATATTTTCTTCTACCATTATTAAAAGCTGTGAAATATTTTCCTATGATATGAATAATACTGAGGCTTTTTAGGTATTTAAGAACTTATGAATTAATGGTTCAACACAAATTTTGTTATACATAATAAAGTATATTATTTATATGTTGTTAAAAGGGTCATATAGGTTATCTTAAAAATTCAAGTTTACAATTGTCTATTAAAAGCTGTCCAAGATGATATGGAGAAAATATTTACCTATGATGAATATAATGAGGTTTTTTTAGCATTTAAAAACTTATCAATAAAGGGTTCAACACAATTTTTGTTAAATATATTAATATTATTTATATGTGGTTAAAAGATTTTAAATATTAATTAATTTCAACTCCATTAAAAATACTTGTCTCTCTTTCATATCCATTATAAGAATGGGCTAATATTAATAATACTATTAAAATTCCTGATTATTATAATTAAGATTAACACATCAATAAATATTTTATTATTTATTGTAAATATTTTATTAATTATTGTAAATAATTCATATTATATGCATATTGTTATGCTCTTCATAAATAATAAAAATTGTATTTTTAAAAGAATTAATTCCTTGTAAATGTCTTTTTAGGTCTGAACTGCTAATCTTTGAAGAAGATATTTTGTTTTTGCATAAAGAGCATTTTGCATAGATCATTGTATGGTTACTTTCATCCGTTTCACATAAAGTAAAATACTTACATAAATTATGGAATGGTAAAAGATTCACATTCTCACTTATATCTGCTGTCACATCAATGGAAGTAGATGTATACTTCTAAATCTATAATGGAGGACATTATTAAAACCTAGAATTTATTATATTATAATATAATTAATAAATATAACTTGTTCTTACAAAAAATTTGGGAAATTGTTAAAATATAAAATCCGGTGGAAAGGTGGTTGGTAAAATATGATGTAGATAGATATTTTTTTAAAAATAATATTTTAATTTAATTTTCAAAATTTTTATTTTATTTATTGTTTTTAAGTAAAAAATTAATTTTTAAAAGGATCGGGATCGAATATTTAAAAAAATGATCTCGATCACGATCCTCAATTTAAGGTCAGGATTCTAAATCCGAGAAAATTGACAAATTTAGGATCGAATCCAGGATCGGCGATCTTTTGATTCGATCCTTTAACAACTCAGGTCACACACTAGGACAAGATCGCTTTCAACTTAATTGGTTTTTTTTAAAATAAGTAAGCATTATAGCGCGCACAAATTCAACGTTTCAAGGCAGCTTTTCAAAACGCAAATAATGCATTTTAAATGCATTCGTTTAAATTGGACAGTATTTTTTTTGTTTTATATTTAGACGTTTCATATTAAAAGAATAAAAATTAACGGTTCAATTTACGTTTACATTTTTTTATTTGCCTTTTGAAACGCTGCGTTGAAACGTTCAATTTGTGCGCATTATTAGTTTTGTTAGTGTTACTCTTCAAATGAATCAATTAAATAAGCTACTATATCCAAAACGTAATTTGTTACATATTATAATTGGAAATATAACTAGTTATAGTTACTGAAATGTAATAATTGAATAATTTTTGGAAAAAATAATATTTGTTATACAAAGGCTACCAGTTTTCGAGGCGCTGGGTGGGAGTACGTCAAATCGAACATGTTTCACCCGCCTCATTTCGATTTTTACGAAATTTTATATTCAATCTAAGGCTTATTAGGACCTGTGTTTAGGCAAGATTTTAGCCCACAACTTTTATATTTTTGAATATATCAGAGGTATAACCATAAAAATTTATCTTTTTTTAGTATCGGTTTTAATTTAATTAATGATTATTAGAAACTACACAATTGTAAATAATAAAAATTTAATATTGATGCATATACTTTATATTTTTAGAAAAGAAAAATAAAAACGGGTTATTTTTATAAACATTAAAACCATTGTATGATTGCAAAAAATTGGCCTTGAGCCTTTACGACTTTAGCAGTAAAATAGATGAAAACTAGTTTTTAAAAGTAAGTATTTTTTCATGATTAATAATGTTTCTATCTTATTTTTCCTATCACTCAATGTGGCCTCTGGATGATGCTTTGGTTTCCAGGTAAAATTTTGAACCGGGCTGAGCAGGTCTCTAATAT